GCCGCGGTCGCTCCTCCAGCGCTGCGCTTCCCGCGCTGTCCGCCAGGGGGCAGCTCCGCCCCGCCGCCCCCTCGCGGCCGTGACCGGAACGGGCGGGGCGGGGCCGGGGCCGGGGCCGGGGCCGGGGCCGGGGCCGGGGCCGGGGCCGGGGCCGGGGCCGGGGCCGGGGCCGGGGCCGGGGCCGGGGCCGGGCGGGGCGGGGGTCCCCATTCCTGCGGCCGCTGCTCGGCCCGGCCGGTGCCCGCCCCGCAGGCATGTGGTCCGTGCTGTGGGCGGCCGTGCGCTCCAAGGCCCCGTACGTCACCTTCCCGGTGGCCTTCGTGGTGGGGCTGGTGGGCTCCCAGCTGGAGCGGCTCCTGCGCGGGGAGCCCCCGCCCACGGCCCAGGAGGAGAAGAGCATCTCGGAGCAGCGGGAGGACCGCAAGCTGCAGGAGATCGTGGGCGAGGACCTGACCAAGGTGGTGAGCCTGAAGGACAAGCTGGAGTTCGCCCCTCGGGCCGTGCTCAACAGGAACCGGCCCGAGAAGAGTTAATAAAGGGAGATTCGGGCAAATTCCGTGCCCTGGAGAGGTTGCTGGGGACTCCCTGCCACCTGCGCTGTTTCCACCTGCTGCTCCTCACCCCGCGGACCCTGCGGAGGGTCAGCTTTGGCAGCCCACGGATTTGCTGGAGGTACCCAGAGCTGGGTGGCAGAGCGGGCAGGGAGCCGTGTGTGCAGATGGAGCGAGTGGAAACCTGCTCAGCTCTCGCCCGGCCTGCCTCCTGCACCACCAAACACTCTCGGCATGCTTCCATCTGTGTCTCCTCAGGTTTGATTTCTTCCGTGGTGTGAAAGTAGAAGTTTGGACCTGAGTGCCGTGGGATGGGGTCAGGCTGGCCGCCAGTGACAGGAAGAACTGCTGCCCTGCTTTTATATCCCCTGTGGCTCTTGATGAACCCCACACCACAATGTGCTACAGCAGCCATGGAGCTCTCTGAGGACCCCCCCTCTGCATCATCCCTTCCAGGAATGGTGACAGGGGGAGGTGAAAGTCTCAGTCCTCCTTGTTGTGGTGCTCTCAGCATGGCGATGTGTTGGGAATGGGGAGATCACTGCCCTCTGCACAATAAACTTCTGTCAGTCCTCGGGCCTCTGTGTGTCCTGCATCAGCACAGCCCCAGCCCTGTCTCAGGGCATGTCGCTGCTCCCTGTGTGTTCAAGAAGCAACTGCTGCAGTGGGACAAATGCCATTGCTGACCCTGGCCGGGCACTGCCCTCCAGGCCTGGCAGCAGCGTGGTGGGCAGGAAGGAGGAGGAGGCACCAAATTCCCAGCCTGTGCCTCCCTCCCAGCTCCCCCAGCTGCGTCATCTGCTTCCGTTTGAGCTCTTTATCTCGAGGAGAAGGGCTGTGACAACATAGGGTGGGGTCCCAGGGGACAGGGGTCCCACTGGGGTGCTGAGCAGGGAGAGGCTGGCAGCAGGCACTGGGCGCTAGTGGCTGGTGTCCCCTCAGGTGCTGGCACAGCAGGGACAAACCCCAGCCAGAGCTGCCTGAACAGGGCCAGGGCCGGGGTTATCGCTGCCTCCCGGTTTGTTTTTTCCCGTGGTGCCTGAGCAAGGCCCCGGCTCAGCCCCAGCTCAGCCCCGGCCCGGCCTTCCCCTCCCGGGGACGATAAATCTGCCGTGCCCGGTGCGGTGCTGAGGTCAGCAGGCAGTCAGCGTTCACACTGTGCTGTGCTGCGCCCCGGCCAGGGCCATTCCTGCCCCGCTGACAGCTTTACTGCCATGCTCCCGGCTCTGTGTGCTGCCCGAGCTGCTGTCCTGGCCCGTTCTGCTGCCCTCGGCTGGGCTCATGGCCCGGCACTGCCAGGAACACTCTGACCTTTGCTGCGAGGGCAGCTGAGCCTCGGGAGAAGGAGCAGGAGGAGCCTGGGTGTCATTTAGAGCCTGGCCCAGCCCTGTCTCGCTGCCACCTCCTGCTCTGGGGCTCACAATGCCCAGCACGGTGTCCCCGTAGCCCCTTCCCCTTTGTCTCCTGCTTTCCCAGCCGGGCTGTGGGGTGACGGCTGTTCCCTATTGTGTGCTGGGGTGGGAATGGTCCAGTTCCTTCTCCCAGCTGGGACCAGCTCGGAAGCTGTCAATGAAATGCCTTTGTTCGCCCCGCGCCGGAGCGGCTCCCCCGGCTGTTTACAGCCCATTGATCCCCTCGTTCCCAGGGCACAATCGGCTTCTGGGGGGGCCCCTGTGCCCCACATCCTGCCCCAGCCCCATGCAGTGTCATTCTGGGAGGCTGCTGCAGCACAGAGCTGGAGTGATGCCCCGGGGAAGGACCGAGCCCTGATAGTGACAGCCTGGGCATTGATGGCACCTGGCTGCCATCCC